TTCTGAATTTAAGGTTTCCAATGTGGCCCCCCACCCCCACCCCATCTTCAAATCGCAGCAGTGATTTCCCTGCACAAAACAATCAAAATCATAATACAATCTCCAGCCACCTATGGGATGTACGCGTTGTGAATGTCCCTCTCGGCATTCACCAGCCAAACCTCCTCCTTTGGAGACACACACAAAAAGAGCGCTTCTGATTAATAATCTCTCCCGCGGCACCGCGAGCTAGGGCAGGGAGCCGGGGCCAGGGAAGGGCGCAGGAGCCTCCGCGCAAAGTCCGGGGACCTGCGACCCGCTAGGTTTCCGAAGGGGAATCATACTTGGCAAGCACTGTTTGGGGGAAGACAACCGCATCCAAATACTGACTCCTTCTGGGCTGGGGGAGGGGACCGTCGCCTTTACGGCATTTTTGCCTGCAGAATAGTGTGCAAGATGGTACGCAGCTCAGGCTTGTGGCCAGGCCCTGCCCTGGCTTTCTTTCTTTCTTTCTTTCTTTCTTTCTTTCTTTCTTTCTTTCTTTCTTTCTTTCTTTCTTTTTTTCTTTTCTCTCTCTGTCTCTCTCTCCCCCCTCCCTCCTCCCTCCCTCCTCCCTCCCTCCCTTCCATTCTTTCTCTCTCTCCCCCTCCTCTTCTTTCTTTCTCTCTTTCTTTCTTTCTTTCTTTCTTTCTTTCTTTCTTTCTTTCTTTCTTTCTTTCTTTCTTTCTTTCGTTCCCCCTCACTCCCTTCTCTCCTCTCTCTCTCTCTCTCTCTCTCTCTCTCTCTCTCTCTCTCTCGTCGACAAGAAATTGAAATTAATTCTTATGTGGCTAGCTCCCACGAAGCTGGGATTTCAACCTCTTATTTATAATTTAAAGTCAGTGTGGCGTCCGGGGGAAACGCCCCGACTTGGGATTTCACTAGGATGCTCCCAGGCCGGGTCGCTGACCACAGCACCTGAAGAGCAGAGGAAGGAGAGAGGGCTGGTGGCTTCCGAATGCTTCCGTCGGGGCTCCGTGTCACGCCCCAACAGACGCCTCTCTGCTTTCTCTCCCCGAGGCCGGCCAGTGTTGCTGCGGACCTGGCCAGGTGAGCAAGGGACAGTCCCGGGGGCAGCGGCCCTCCCGGGAGCTCCGGTGGGTCTGTGAGCCCGCCAGGCGAGGAAGACCCAGAGGCACCCGGGGCCAGCACGGGGCTCCCGGCTCCGGCCAGCAGGGGAACAGCGACACCTACTGGCCGCGCGGGCACCGCGTCGGGGCCGTCGAGGCGGCCTTGGGCTGGGGGCGCCCCGCTGCGTGGATTTGGGAGGCTGCAGAACAGGCACAGCCTCTGCTTCTAGAGACCCTCGGGGGCCTGTAGGAGGGGACCGAGGCTCGCGAGGGCACACACGCCCTCCAGCCCGCGGATCTTTCTTCTGGGGAACCAGAGGGACCCGCAGACGCGACTGGCCGCCTCCTCCTGGTTCGAAGAGAAACCCAGGAGGGCGTTGGAGCCCTGACCTTTTCGGGCTCATGACCCATGCCTCTTCTCTACCACCCCTGTTGCCGTTCCGACTAAAGATGATATCTTTACAGATTGGGAACCAAGGAGAGTTTATTATTCTCCCTTCAGAGGGGAAATATGCGCGCTAAGGACACAGACGCACACGCAGTGGCTGGCCAGGCACGCGGACCGGCCGAGCCCTCCAGCTCGCCGGAATCCGGCACCGTGAGCGCGCTCTCACCGCCGCCAGGGACTGAGAGTTGGTAGCTTTTCTTTAAGAATGATGACCTTAACTACACCGGAAGTAGAGGCAAATTTTAGGCGGTGGTGAAATGTTTGAAACCTAAGGGTACATATAGATCCCGCTAAATGTCATTGTAAATGCTTCGGTTGGGAAAGGTGGAAAGAAGGTGCCAAGGGATGGGGAGCCCGAAGAAAATCTCCCATGGATGAGGATGGGAAGTAGCCCATTCGTGTCTTACAGATTTACTTTATCCATATTTTCTTGCAAACAGCCATTTCATATGAAAAGGAGATGTAGGTGGTCCCAGCGATGGGCGGGGGAAGCAGGGATCGCAGCCGTCCCGGTCGCCCAGATGCCTCCATTTCCCATGTGAGGTTCTGAGGCGCACCTGGGCCTAAGAAACGTGATTGAATGTGATTGGGTGCTAACTTGCTTGAATATTAAAATACATTTCTTTTCCTAGAAAAACTGGAGTATCTGAACTAATTTGAATCTTGAGATTTTTCCCATTTAAAATATTACTCATTATAAACCTAGAATTAAAAAACAGACGTTTCATTGAAAGTTCCAGTTCATCTTGGAAATTATTTTTTTTAGCTTTAGATATTGGTTGGAACAAGAATCTAAAGTGTAGTGAGGAAAAAGGGGGGAGAGGGTCTGGTAAGGGCCCCATTTTTGTCTGCATTCTCTACAGTTGCAAAAGTTTTGCTAATTTTGTTTTGTTTACATGAAAGTGGAATCCCTTAGTGTCCCTAACTTCGGGTTTTAGATCAAGTCTTTCTTTTTTTTTTTAGTTAAATCCTTAAAGGGCTCCTGAAGCCTGTTTCTCAACTCAGTTTTGCAAGTATTTTATTTTTCTTTTTTCCAGCATGTCTTTACAAATGTGTTCTGGTAACATATGAATTCACATCCCAGAGCAGGCCCTTAGCAGTTTGCATGATGTATGAGTAAACCTGTATTACTAGTAATGAATAAATAGTGCTATATGCTAATGGCATATCGCTCAATGAATCCTGCACCCTAATGCATATCAAAGTCAACTTTCTCCTTGCAAAACAGAAGTTCTCACAGAAAAATAATTGCACTGGGCACACAGCAAGCAACCATCAACCAAACCCACTTCAGAGGTGTCTTTGGGTATTGAAAGCACCTTGAAAAATGCAGGGCTTGAAATGTTTTCCATTCTTGGAAAGCATGGGGTTTATTTGTGGCTTGAAAATCTTAGCTAGAATGGGTTCTCATTGTTGCTTGATATTCTTTGATTTTATTGACTCTAAAATTATTGATTTGACATTAAATAAATAGAAAAATAGAATTGAAGTGTCAAATAGATGGAATTTCTCTGTATTTCCAAACACTCCCAAAGCATAAGCATATTAAAGCTTAATTACAGGAATGTTTTTTGATTTAGAACAAAAGTTGGGCCAGTGAAATTGATTCTTATTCCAGGAGGAAAATCCATAGTTGTTGTGAAGTATTTGTGAAGTAAGGGTGGAGACAAGGCTTCTCCATCTATTTAGGTCTTCCTTGATATAGTTCTCTTTTAATTCCTCTTGTTTATCAAGAAAATTGAGGCATGAAGACAGGCTAAACTGTCCTTAGACTGTTCCTTTGTTACACCTGCCCTCCCTGTGGGCATGCCTGGGAGGGTGTGTGTTTGTGTAAGTGTGTGTGTCCTCCTTTCCTCCTGGTTGAGGAGCACGAAGGAAGGGTTGCAAGGATGGGCATATTGATCAGAAAGGCACATCACTCCATGTAAAAATGAAATGGATACATTGGAAACCCTGATAAATCCCACCTAGATGCTAATCTGGGCTGGGTATACTTGTGTGTATGGTAGCTGGCAGACTGGTTGCATACATCGCTTGGGAAAGGGGGAAGGGTTCCTACATCTGGAGTGGCCCCCTTTTCAATTGTAGTGAAATGCACAAGGGCTCAAAGGGGTTTGGTTTCAGAGAGCAGAGCTCCAAGGACACCTGTGTGCATCTTATTGAAGTTAGGTGTGTGTGTGTATGTGTGTGTGTGTGTGTGTGTGTGTGTGTGTGTGTATGTGTGTGTGTGTGGTGTAGGAGTAGGCGTTTCATCAAAAATTCATTTGAAAAAAATAGTATCCTAAAATTCTGCTATGTCATCCATTGGGGTCAGCACCAAGGTCACTAACATGTCCCAGGTTCACTCGTGGACATTGGCAACATTATTGCTTTTGATGTAGGAACATGGCTTCTTTGACGTCTCTGGTTCTTTATGCTACTTCCTAATAGTGGGGCGAGGCTCTAGCCTCCCCCTCCTCCCTTCTTGATTCCCACAAACAAAACCATTCTACCACTGGAGCCATCTGCGGCAGGTGTGATGGATAGCAGGGGCCCACCTAACCACACTCCAGTCTCTTCCAGGGCGTCACCACTCTGCACCCAACAAACGAGTCCTGTTTCACCACTAGGGTGCCGAGGTGGATGGTGGCTGCCGCCCCCGCCCCTGGCAGCGTTCAGCGCTTAGAAACCTGAGCCAGCTGACAACACACGAAACACACAGGCACAGAGAAAGGGCCGAGCCCACTGCGCGCTCCCTCCATCCCCTCCCTCTGTTCTCTGTACACACGGAGGACACATACAAAGCTTTTACACATTTAAAAGCCCTCGCGACTCTGAATTCTTGGTTCCTTATGACGGCCTTCCCCACTGCACATAGACCCTGGCGTGTGCGTGTGCGTGCGTGTGTGTGTGTGTGTGTGTGTGTGCCGCGCGTGTGTTTAAAACGCTTATTGGTAGGTCATCAGCAGCTGATCAGACACAGTAATCCAATAATCTTTTTGAATACATACACATTTTCGTTAAAGGTAAATTTCTTTAAAGGAAAACTGTCCATTTCCTGCGGATTCCCAGTTTAGGTTCTAGGGAACCGCAGAGCTAGGAAGCCCCCGTCTTGCCCAACTTTCCATTTCCAAGGTTTGAGCTGGGCGCAAATGGCCACTTCACGATCGAGCAGGGTCTCATCTGCACGAGGGCGTATAAAATAGAACTGCGGGACGAGGAGCTGGGGGCGATTGGGTAGCTGGAAACCCCTGTAGTCGCTTGGAACCCTAGCAGGATGCACGGAGAACCCCAGGGCCAGCGCGCGGGGTCCCACCTCCTAGGCGCGCAGCACCCCCACCCGCGCCCGGCTCCCCGTCCTGACCCCCTCCTCCGCCCCCCATCATTATTTTAGCCCCAGGTGATGGTGCTCACCGCTGGGGCCTGCGGGCTGGGCGGGGCTGGACCCTGCCAGGAATGAGCTCCACTGTCCCCAGAGGACTTACCTCGAGCGAGGCCCTGGCAATGGTGGCCCAGCAGCGTCAAGTTTTGTCTCCCAGCCGTTGTGCCAGATTTCCCTCCTGTCTGCCGCTCCTCTCGGCAGGCTCGTCTCTCTCTCTCTCTCTCTCTCTCTCTCTCTCTCTCTCTCTCTCTCTCTCTCTCTCTCTCTCTCTCTCTCTCGGATTGCTTGTGACTTTTAGAAGCAAAAGCTTGCTTATTCAGAGAGAGGGAGGGGAGAGGAAGAGGGAAGGGAGGTGGGAGGGAGGAAAGAGAGGAGGAGAGAGAAATAGAAGGGGGCTGGAGGAGGAAGGGGAGGTGGAGAATCTGAGGTACTGAAGGCTAGGTAGAGGGGCAGGGGGATGAGGGGGAGGGAAGGGGGAGGGGGAGGGGGAGGGGGAGGGGGAGGAGGAGGGCTGGGAGGGGGAGGGTGGAGTAACCGAAGATGAGCTGGGATGGATCGACGAGGAATAAATTGCTCCCCACCCGGCGGCAGTGAGACGCCCCCAGCCTCTCGGGGGAGCCTTGCGTCAGATCGCGGCCGGCCGAGGCGGGGCCGCACAAAAGCGCCGCGGGACCCCCTCAGGAGCTCCTGTCCGGCCGCCCCGGGGCCCCACGCCGGAGCCCCGCTCTCCTCCGCCGCACAGGGTGGCAGTCGAGGGGCTCCAGGCTCCACAGAACTTTGATTTCCGTCCGGGGCGCCTGGCCATCCTCGCCCGCGTCTCCGACGGGCCGGCAGCCCGCACGTTTCCCGCGCACCTTCCCGCGGCCGCCCACCTGCGGCCCGCTGTGTTCACATTTGGGCACCCCCTCAGCCTTTCTTTCTTTCTTTCTTTCTTTCTTTCTTTCTCTCTCTCTCTCTCTCTTTCTTCTTTCTTTCTTTCTTTCTTTCTTTCTTTCTTTCTTTCTTTCTTTCTTTCTTTCTTTCTTTCTTTCTTTCTTTCTTTCTTTCTTTCTTGATTTCTTCTCTCTCTCCTCCCTCCCTCCCTCCCTCCCTTCCTCCCTTCCTCCCTTCCCTCCTTCCTCCTTCCTTCCTTCCTTCCTTCCTTCCTTCCTTCCTTCCTTCCTTCCTTCCTTCCTTCCTTCCTTCCTTAATATAGGAGAGAGAGAGAGAGAGAGAGAGAGAGAGAGAGAGAGAGAGAGAGAGAGAGAGAGAGAGAGAGTCTCATGCTCCGGGCTAGAGAAAAAGGCGAAATCCCGAAAAAGTCGCTTCTGTCTCCTGCAGCTTGAAACTGACAAGCAAGTCCGAGCACACCCAATATTTCAGATCAGTTCTTAGTGAGGGTCAGGGCGGGGCTGGGATCAGTTCACCTGAGTTTCTGTACATCAAGGATTGTTTATTATTATTAAATACACAAATAGGCTTAAAAACGAAGAGTCCTTACGGAGAAGGAAGGGGGGCGGCATTATAGCAATGGTCAGGAACCAAACGTGGTTAAAATGGTTTTCTTGGACAAGAACATCTATGAAGGGTACAGGTGAAGTCTCAGACTGGCACAAAACCGATTCATCCAGTGATGGGACTTTAAAAACAGGAGCATACTTTCCCACCTAGACGGCCCATTGGTCCTCTGCTGAATGTACTATTAAGCCAGCCCCATGGAATGCTTACGTGGCAGCTTTTAATGTACCGCTGGAAGTGCGCACTCGAGTTTATAGAATTATCTGTGTTTTCACACACACACACACACACACACACACACACACACACACACACACTTATAAAGAGAAAAAGTTTGAACACCAGCACCCTAAACTAATAAATATGTATATTTTCAAACAACTTTCCCTTAAATATGGTAATTTTCCTCTGCATTCCCATGCTGAGCTGTAGATTTGACAGTATAGTTATACAATAGGCTACCAGGATCAACATAATTCTGTTTACATTTAAGGTGATGGCAGGTCATAAAATGCTGGGGGGCGGGAACCTGGAGGGGTGGGGAGAAGATGGCTTTTATTAACAATTATATCTCCCATAGCAGTTTAATTTAAATAATAGTGATGATGTCACGATGACCATCCTTCTCCCACTCCAGTGAAACCACTAGATGGTTTAGTGAAAAATGCGTCTGTTTATTTAGTTAAGGGATTATCATTGCCATAGAGTTTTAGAACTATCCTGTGGCACATAAAAAATCTCTGAACATTAAGTTAGCACACTGGGCATGATTTAGAACCCGATGACCTGCCGAAACTTGTTCCAGAACAAGGATGATAAAATGTTGCTAGTTTGTACCCACCATAGTTTTGAAGAAAAGTGTAACAAAAGAAGTTGTTCTTTAAAATTGTTCATTTTAGGCAAAAACAGAAAAAAATACTTTCTTTCAGCAAAAACGAGCTGGTGGGCAATCTATTAAATGAGGACAACATTTTACTAATCTTTAGCGGAGTTTTAAAAATTCTTCTGGAGAGCGGTGAGAGGAGAGGACATGGGAAGCACACAGAACCCCAGCCCAGCCTGCACTGTGGTGGCTGTGCCAGGAGCTCACACTGTGCTCACATCCACGCGCGGTTCTACAGCATGGGTGGGGTTCGAGGCTCCATTTCTGAGGATGAGAGAACCACCCACCCACCGTGGGTCAGCCACATGCTTAGAAATGGGTATTTGTATAAGAGCAATGTTCAGGCTATCGTACAATGGCATGATGGAGAGAGAATTCATTTTTTTATTATTTAACAATTGCTTAATAATTAATTTCTTTGCTTATTGAATACCATTTTAGAGAATTGCCTCTGTCTTTGAAATTGTTAGCCAGTGTTTGCTTTTAATGTGGCCTTGGAGTTGGGTTCACTGGAGGAAGGGAGGGCTGCACAAGGTACAGTTTTAAGGCACAGAACAATTAAGGTAAAAGAAAGGTAGAAGAGGACTAAAGAAACTTTCGGTTGTATTTAAGTAGGGCTTGGCAGTTTGCAAAACTTTTCTTCTTTATATTTTAAACAGCCAAGTTTATAAATTAAATTTCTTTTAAATCATCTAAATCTCAGAGATATTATCTTCCTTAGTAGCAAAATGCCCCCAACGGCTTTATTTAGACACAACTGGACACTGATGCCCTAACGACAACTGCCTGGCCTGCCCCTTTCCCAGGTTTGGGACCCTTGCAGCGGTTCTCAACCTGTGGGTGACGAACAATGAAAATACATCCTGCATATCAGATATTTACATTACGATTCATAACAGTAGCAAAATTACAGTTATGAAGTAGCAACAAAAATAATTTTATGGTTGGGGGTCACCACAACATGAGGAACTGTATTAAAGGGTCCCGGCATTGGGAAGGTTGAGAACCACTGCATGGGGACTCAAGAAAACCTCTCAAATCTAATCTGATTCAGTGGTGACCACACTGAGGAGCTTGCTTTTAGGTTATTAGTCTTTTAAGCACCACGTGATTAGGCAGGGCTGGTAACTTGAAAGCACAACCAGATTCTGGGCAAAACCATTTTGTCCTTTTGGCATAAAAATGTAATTGTATCTCCAAGTTCCACCCAGGAACAGACGGCTGCATGTCAGGGCTGGAGGGCTGGTACCTACCCAGATCACTACAGGACTTCAGCTGGCAGAGGAGATCCAGCAAATGGGATCAGGAAGAAACTCATGGGGTACGGGTAAGAGGTACTGCATCCGGGTTCTTTTTGTTGAGAGTGCCAGTGACAACAATTAGTGGCTTCTGCACCAAGGAGAGCCAGAATTCACTACTAAACAGTTTCAACCATGACATACTTACTGGAGCTAGTTCAAATTTTAAAAAATTCCTCTGCAGATATCACTCTTCTCCCTGCTTATCATTTACAAGATTTTAAAATATCTAATTTATAGGTAGTCATTACTAGGGCTGTGCTACATTTAACACAGAGGTCCAGGAGCACTTTGGGGTCATGTAATTATCAGAGTAAAGGGTCTTCCAGCTTTACCTGGCAGCCTTACCTCTGTAGTGGGAGCTCCTCCAGAGAAAGACTTGTTTTTGTTTTTGTTTTAGTACGAAGTGTTTTTTATTCTCCCATTCAGGATATAATACATTAAAAAATAGTTCAGCAACAGGGAAAGACATGTTTTTATTTGTGGAGTTGCAACTCAAGTCTTTTTACAAGTGTGAGTGTTCAGTTGCATTTATCAGTCTGAAATAAGGAGTTGGATACCTTCCCAAACCTCCTGCCAATAACCACTTGAACACCCAGCCCCTGACCACTGTCTTCCCAGTTACTGTCGTAACTCTTTAAGGCTTTGCTTTTAACCTTCGTATGCCCTTTAATGAAATCCATTCGTCTTTTGGGGACGGGGATTCAGATTTAGCCTTCGAGTTCGTCACTTAAACATTATTCCCTGTTTTATCATTTAACATTCAGCCCACTCCCGAGTTAAGCATTTGGTCCAGTAAGGCTCAAACCTTTCCTCTGGTCTCCAAGGGTTCAAACCAGCCCTTAGCATCAAATGCCAGGAAGGTGCTCACAGGTAAACTGAAAGTTTGGAGAGGGAAATGTCACCATTCCTTTTTTTTTTTCCTTCTTTTTTTTTTTCCCCTAATAAAATGGAGGCTGACAGTATGTGTAACACCCTTCCACAGCTTGCCAAAATTGGTAAAATGGTTTTCATTCTAATTGGGCAAAAGTCCTATGGTTTTGCACCTTAGAAAGGGTCCCTGACTAGCTCTCCCTTTGGTTGATTTTTAAGAGATCGGCGCCCCCGATGCAGCTCTCAGGTAAAGCCATAGAGATGAAGGTATTTTCCCTAGAATCCCCGAATTTTGCGCCCTAGCTCACACTTATCCACATTCTCAGGGAACCGGTAGGCTAATAAAGACAAATAGTCATGGGTGGAACCCCATAGTGTCTACCACAGGGACTTTGGTCAGAAAAGAGAGAGAGAGAGAGAGAGAGAGAGAGAGAGAGAGAGAGAGAGAGAGAGAGAGAGGCAACCCCTCACTCCACTTGCGCCTGGACTTCAGGCCACGTGAGCTGCTGCTGGCGACCTCAGGTGAGCGGCTCCGGGAGGGGACGCTGGGGGCTCACCCCAGAGCCAGGCCTGCTGAAGGCCCCTCTCGGGGACCACTGGGACCTGGGCCGCCTTTCCACTCGGCCTTTTCCGGCCAAAGGAAACACCTGCTGCTGCGGAT